TAAAGTTAATAAAGAATATCTTAAACTATATTTTTTATAATATAAGTAAGTTATAAAAATTAATATTTAAAATTTTAAATATGCAGGTAAATTTGTCTGCATTACAATTTAAGGAATAAGAGATGTTATTTTATAAATGATATATACTTTTTATATACAAATCAAATAAACAAATAATGATTATCTACTAAAAAAATAAATAAATAAAATATTAACTATTTAATAACAATATCATTATTAATTTTTTTAAAAAATTAGTAAATTATATTATATCAATTTTGATTATAAAATAATAATAGTAATATTTTTATAATTATTAATAAAATATTATTATAAAATATAATTTTAAAGTAATAATAATAGAATTATTACAAAATAATAATAATTTATTAGTCAAGAAATAAATAAAAAATAATAATATAATAACTGTTTATTTATTATAAAGTTATAAAATAAAACAAATTGTTTTTAAGCTTATAATTATTAAATATATATAAAATTTTATAAGAAAAAATTGATTCGGTTTTAAAATTATATTTTATAAAAGTAAAACAATTTAAAAAAAATAATTAATTATAATATTTTCAAAAAATTTATTATATATTAAATATATTGTATTTACCAATATTAAAAAAAAAAAAACATATTCAAGTAATTTTTAGTTATAAATAGAATAATAATTATATTTATATACAGTATATCTTTATTATAATTGATTAATTTAAAAAAACCAAACAAATATCAAAATATTCAATTTACAAAATTCAATTAACAAGAAATAAAATATATCATTATTTAATTATAGTTTTAATTACAATGTAATTATATTTTTACTTATTACAAAAAAATTAAATATAATTATAAAAAAATTGTTATAATCTTATAATAAAATAATAATAAAATAATTGTTATTGTTATAACTAAGTTGAAATAATTTTTTCACAAATATTATAATAATTTAATAATGGTTTGATAATAATTTTATAATGATTTATTGATAAAGTAATTAAAAATAGATACTTTTAATAAAGTATTTAATCTATTATTAAAATATATAATTAAATAATAATACAATTGTTTCTAAAATTTTAAATTAAGTCAATAACTAAATAATCAATATTATATGTATATGTATTCTATATCAAATTAACATAAAAAACAAAATAAAAATTTCAACGAATTTATAAAAATTAAATATTTAAAAAATATTTTTACAAAAATATTATAAAATAAGATGAAAAAAAAGATAAAAAATAATTAGAAATATGTATTATATAATCAATATTTTATTAAAATAAATTATGGTAATAAACTATAAATAACAAATTCAAATCTTGAAATAAAAAATTAAAAAAAACAATTATACCTATTGCAAAAAAAATTTTTTTTAAATTAAATATTAAAGAAAAGTATTCAAGTATAAAAAAGTAGTTTATATATGAAAATTTCTATATTATTATATTTTTGATTTTAAAATTAAATAAATATAATAAATACTTGTTTGATTATAAAAAAAAACAAAGTTATAATTATAATAACAATTTAATTATAATAATTAATTGATTTTTAAATTAATGATTTTTAAATTAATGATTTTTAAAAATAATACAATAAACACAATGCTATACTGTTGTTAATATAAATTATAGTTATATATTAGAAGGTACAAGTATCATATATATTATTTTGCTTGGTTTTTTTTGTGATAATATACTGTATATGGTAATTAAAATTACTAAAATCATTATCATAATCAAATTTTTGAAATAACAATTTATTATTTAAATTTAGTTACATAAATAATTAGAAACAAAAAAACAAAAAAACAAAAATTAAATATCTCCTTTAACAAACTAAATCCATAATTTGCTTGCTTATTAAAATCAAGTATTTATGCTTATTTTATTAAATGTATAAGTATAAAATTAATAAAATATAATAACAATAGTTTTATGAAATATTATTCTGTAGAATAAAATCATGACTAAATAATTAACGATTTTCTTGTAACGCCCTCTTTAATTATAAAAAAATAACCTTAAGCTCGTCCGGATAATCGTCATCTTAGTTTATTTTGTTTGTTTTACAACCATATACTACAATGATTTAGATACAATAAATAAGAAGCTGCATGCACATCTTGCTTTAAATAAGAAATCAGCAAACAATGATATGTAAATTGGACTGGATAAGTTAAGGTTTCGCAGCTACAATTTTCATGTGTGTCGGATGCAAACATATAATGATATTAAGAATTGGTTTTGCATAATGGATTTGACAAAAAAATTGAACTTTTTTTTTTTTTTAAGCATAATTTTTTTTCTTTTTTTTACAAATATTTTTCGCATGACTACATCACTCTACCCATGAAAATGGCCTGAAGCGCAAGAATAACAAAAATAAAATAAAATACTATATAGATTACCAAGTACTTTTTTTTATAAGGGTAATTAATTACACTTGCAATATAAACAGAAACTTTTGTTCTGTTCTTCAGACGAATTACCATGGGTATCTGGATAACGTTACAGCACCAGATCTCTTAGGTTCTGGGTTAATATGATGTCTAAAAAAAAAGGCACTCGTTAGTCTTCATACCACAATCGAAAACAACGATCGCAGTAAAACACGTGAAATCTTACCAGTGACGCTGCTCATTATGTGTCTCAGCAAATTCGTGTCAGTAGCATCGGTGAAATGTGGATATATTTCTTTGGTGGTACTACGGTTGAGTCGCTGAAATCGTCGTTTGAAATAGTGCGTTGTGTGTTTAAAATCACCATTTGGGCCTGAATTTGATATTAAGGTGGTAAGAAGAGAGAAGGAGAAAAGAGGAAGAAATATATCTCGATTGTCTACCTGAATAATCCGGAAAATACTTTCGAACAGGAGATATCTTTATCTTCGCTCGAAATATGTCAATCTTATTCAGGAACAAGATCATAGAAGTATTCACGAACCACTGTGAATTACATATGGAATCAAACAATAACAGTGCTTCTTGCATTTGATTCTAATCAATATTTAGGATAGTTGGATGAGGATAGACATCGTAGACGTTGGGAGAAAGAGGTTATAGATAAAATAAAACACAAGAGCACTTACAGAATCCTTGTCCTCAACAAGACATTGGTCATATCCGCTTATGGCCACTAAAAATAGTACAGCAGTGACATCTTCGAAACAATGTATCCATTTCTTTCGTTCTGATCGCTGACCACCCACGTCGAACATCCTTTTTTGAATGGATAGATGAGATGAGATGAGATGAAGAAAAACAAACACCTCTTGCATACACACATACATACACACATACACATACATACATACATATATATATATACATCTTTCGCGCAAGATAAATTTTAACATTAACGCTTACCGATAGGTGAGTGGGCCCAGGTGAAAAACGGTCTCCACAATTCCAGTGGTCTTCATTCGCGTGTGCAGGATATCTTGATCAGACGGGACATAGGCTTGTGAGAATACCCGGTCTAGCATTTCAAAGAAACTAATTTTGAATGGAAAAAAAGATATTGTTAAACAACTCAATCATACGTATATATAATGGACTGGTTATTCCAAGATTGAGGAAGTCAAACGCTACTTACTAACTCATATTGTCATGTAACGCGTATTGATGACCTCTCTCGTAGCACTTTTGTACTCCGCTGTCGACCCACAATGACTTCAGTGGTTCGAGATACATGATTGGAAACGGTTGCCCTTTGGAGATACTTGGAGGATCATTGAATAACGAGACATATTGCTTTTTTTTTTTCGATAAAATTTATAGATTAAAAAGGAGGACTGAGACAATGATAAGATATTCTCCAAAACGAAAAAAAGAAAACTTACCATATTACCATCCATACCAAACGGTATCTTAAAGTATTCCATCGCTTCAAGAACCAATCGCATGGAGTGCATTATGTTCATGAACACAATTGACCGATAGGTTTCGCGTTCCGCAGAAGTGAATCCCGCAGCGTGTATTAGTCTCATCTGTTTTATAACTGTACTTTTGCCAGATTCACCAGCGCCTACACAAAATGAAAGTTCGAAGAGGTCTTAACAACTAGATACCAATGTACCTGCGCAAACCAATAACTATCTAGATTCATGCTCACTAAAAAAATCTACCCGCATCAAAATTAAACCTAACCCACCCAATATTTGATCCGGAGATCGCGACCCCTAGATCGAATTATGGAAGTTGATTTCCCATTGCATCGATTACTCCTCGCCTAGCCCTGCCCTCTATTCACATTCTAGTCCCCAAAAATTCAACCCTCTTTCACACCTCTCCAAAAGGCTATGTGAGACGATAAAAATCAACAACTTACCCAACAAAAGCAATTTCACTTCCATCCTCATTCTTTTTTCGTCTTCCTTTAATACTTTATTGATCCGTTTTGTGGTTATGTCATGCGAAGATACGCAGTTCCCCATCTCTTTTGTAGTTTAACGTTTATCAAGTTTTTTCTTTTCGAGTATATTAATTTCGGTGTACCCCAGAGTTCCTTTACGGAAGTGAAGTGTTGGCTTATTAAATGTAATTTTGATGAAGGATATCTCTGCTCACGTTCAATTATGCCAGTTTATCTTTTGGACGCACTTTGCGACTTGGAGGTAATGGAAGGAAAACGGACAAGTAAGTAAGTATTATTAGATAAGGTTATTAGGTGTGGATGTATGCTATTAAGGAATTGGGTGCGTGCTCGTTTGCGATATTCTATATTTGTAACAAAGGAAGTCCAAAAAGATTTAGCCAGATGATCAACGTTAACTGACAGGAAAGGTTCGGTTCGGAAATGTTACTTACATGTCTAGGTGGAAATGAGTTCATATATAAATGCATGTAGGGTGGATGAAAATGATTAGGATGATGTTAAATTAATATTATGCACGATATGGGGGACCGAAATCATTCGACATGAATGAAGGAAAAAATTTACTCCTTACCTGAATAAGATTATTACTGAAATTGATTTCGCAATGAATTGGAAAAAAAAAAAAGAACGCACGAATGAAAGAATGAACTAATGAACAAATGAACGAATTGTTTATTCACGAAAGTATCAAAGAAAAAGAAAAAAGGTAATAATATACTGTATGATATGAATTTAGTGGTGGAAGATGGTATTATAAGGTTGGGAATAATTGGGGAAGGGAGACAGGTTATTAGTTTTATAAGTATTATGTATAAAGGAATAGAATATTTGACGATTCAGAAAAAAGAAGTTTGCTGAGTGAGAAGATTGAAGTAAAGGAAGATTGCTAGCGAGGCTTGCTTAATACACAAATAATAACAATATTAAAATCAAATCAGGCTATCAATATAATCCATTAATCGAAAGATGTTTCGTTTAAGTGTTTCAAGTATAAATAGGGAATGTACACGTGAGGGTATAATCATTAAATGAATACTGAAGAAATTGCTTGAAACCTAATGAAAAAATAAGGAACGATAAATCCAGGGTATGAGCACCCACAGTTTCAAATTTAAAGATTATGGTCTCGTTCCAAAAAATCAAAAAGGAAACAAAGCGGAGAAAGTTGTTTATTAATACGTACAGTATGTACCGGGTTTTTTTTTTTTTTTTTTAAGAAAAAAAAAAAAAGAAAGAAAACAATTTGAGACTGAAAACGTGAAAAAAGTCGGAGATGTGCGAATAGGAGATAAATGGGTATGTGCGTATCCGATTGTTTGAGTCTATTGACTTCGAATATTAGCAAGCAAAAATCCTTTTTATTTTTTTTGTGAGATAAAGAAGTCTTTATTGTACATGCAAACATATGTGAATGGTAGTTGCACAAAATAATTTATCAAATTGGTGGTAGGTATTTTACATATCTTACATTATACACCCGAAAGAAATGGTATTAAGGTTTGGTGGTGATCACATGGTGTGCCCTCTTGTACTATGTACAGTATCTTCGTTCTTTTTTTCTTTTTTTTTTCAGAAAGGATTCTGTCATCTTTCATCTTTCTTTTTTTCATATCAATTACATCAAAAAATAAGTTGCCGGGCATGGTAATCCATTTAACGAAAAAAATATCAGATATGTACAGATATATACTTGCATGCGCATAATATCCGTGTCTTGTGTGGTAAGAAATTAACTTTTTTTTCTAATGATTGGTAAAAACGAATATGATGGATTTTTAATTAAGACTATATTGCTGTAAGAACATTTGGATTCTATGTAAAAGGTGAATTGAACATGTGATGTACTGGATGCGCTGTGAAAGGTCATACCCTATTTGTGAATTTATAATAACCTCAGATAAGTAAATGACGATTTTAATTTGATAAACATCGTGAAGATCGGACTTCTTTTTATTAAAATTTACCCTTTATGATAATTAAAAAACGAGGCGCAATCGATACAACGTGTAACCAATCATCACAAACAAATATTAAGAAAAAAAAAAAAGTACGCCCACGACGGATTGTCCGATCACAATTTTGTCAGTTTGGTTTTTTTGCATTACTAAGGTGTAATGAATTACAGACGTCCTAATCCAAAAAAATAATCTCAAGGAACCTGTCGTTTTGACCCCTACGATTTACGGCTTTCGGAAAATCCTAATCAGATCCGGAAATTTAGATATTCCCTGAATTTCTGGGAAATCAAGACCCGACAAAATCGAGATGCCATAATTTTAAGCAACAAATAACAAATCCTCTTTCATTCTCACGGGTGTTTTATATCCTATCCATAACCGACCACGTGTCATATTCACATTATTATATGTATTATATAGCACTAAAGTTTTGCGTCAAATGAAAAATGATGATTTTGATGGTTCGGAATTCATCGACATCTGTGCTGCACACGCTCTTTTAACAAGGTTTGTATTTATCCTTCCTTCAGGTGAATAGTACATAAACGTGCTTAAAGTACGTGTGGTTAGAAATCAACGTATGCAAAAAAACATATTTTTGTTTTTTACTTTCAATGAAAAAAAATGTGATACTTAATAACTCATTTGCGCCGAATAAAACACCAATCGTATTCCCTCTTGCTCGTCTTCCATGTACCAATCATTACGCGTCCTTATTGTTTAAAACAATTCGTTCATTCTTATGTGAGAATGCAATTACTGATTTGTAAAGGAAAAACTCGTTTAAAAACTCGATTTTTGAACTCACTTATTGTGCACATCTCCTGTCAATATGTACTTTTTGAGAATAATCTTGAGGTTGAAGCGTGGCGCCAACACCTTAGAGTCATGTGATAATATTATAATGAAAATTACTTTTTTAACATTAATAGAAAAATAAAACTCATAATAATAATAATCATTATCAATATTTCTTATTTATTAAATTAATTTATAATAAATATAATAAACATAATAATATAAAAATCTTTATAAATTTTACTTTTTATTTTAAAAAAAGTTAAATTACTATTTATTTAATATAATATAATTATTGTTTTTTTTTAAAAGATTTTTCTAAAATCAATAATTATATTATTATTTTTTATTAATTAATTTAAAATTACTATAACAATTGTATCATTGATATTTTTATATATTATTTAAATAATTGTTTATTAATTTTTTAAATCCTTTAATTAAATTAAAATTTATTAATATTTTTTTCTGTTTAAAATATTTTATATATTTTGTAATTTTTTTTATAAAATATTTTTTAAATTATAATTTTGAATTCATTTTTGTATAATATTAAAATATATTATTGGAAATATTAATTTTTTGAAATAAATATTTTCTATAAAATCTTATATTTAAAATCTAAATTATTTATTGTTTTATATTTTAAAAAATTAATATATTTTTAATAAAAAAAATATAAGTAAAAAATTTTTTTAAAAAAACTAATTATTCTATTCAAAGGAGAACTATTTATAATCTATCCATATATCAGAATCTTTGAGATTAAAGAAGCATAAGACAAATATATTTTAAGGCTTATAAATTTTTCTTCAAATACCATAGGATACAATTTATAGGAGATAATCAAATTTATCAAGGCAGTATCATGCCACATTTTCCATAATAGGAACTATACAAGAAAAAGATTTGCTTTCTTAAATTTTACTTCAGTGAAGGCAAAAGAAAAAGCAAAAAATATAGAAATACAACTGAAAAAAACAACACTCTTTTGATATAAAACCAATACAAAGTTATATGCCATTTGTAGTACACCAGACCATCTAACAAAAGATTGTAAAATTAAAGCAAAATAGCAAAAAAGGTAACAAACACTAAGAGAATTGGCAAAAAGATATAATAGTCTATACCAAAAATCAAGTCAGAGTGCACAAACCAAATTAGAAGAGTTCAAAAAAAACAAACCAATAAACTAACAAATAATAATCAAATCAGGGCTCAAAAACAATTCAATAGAGCAACAAACCAATTTTAAAGCAGAGAAATATTTGCTCAAGTCACAAGTAACGCAACAAAAGAAGTCAACAAACTCATAGCAAGCAATCCAACAGCAATGATTAACCTATAGTTATCATTAACAGAAGTAATTAAAATAGTACAAGCAATAAAATTAGAACTTAAACACATCAAGAAATCCATAGATGATCTTAATCAGAGAATTGGATACTTAGAAAATTTCGTTTACTTCTATACAAACAACTTATCACAATTCTAAAATAATAAAGAACAACAATAAAAAACAAATTAGGCAAACTACCTTGATAAACTTATTAGCAATGGCAGGAACTTAACCAACTAGAACAATAAATCTAATAAGCATTAATACATAACAACCATTTACAAGACATAATACAAAGCAAGTAAAAAATATCACAAATCCAATATGAATAGTAGACCATTAAACACAGAATATCACCTGAAGAATCATTATATATAATGTTAAAGGATTCAACAATCAAACTAAAAGAGACTGCTAGTTAGCATACTGCCAAGACCAAACAATCAATATCGCAATCATTACTGAAATCCAAATACAAACTGATGAGCACATATATTGAAAGTTCCAAGGATATTATATATTTTGGAGCAATAGCAGGAAAGAAACAAAATCTTGATAATAATTAAAGAAATTGCAAACCATATTGGAGAAATCAAGACCCTGAGTGGCAAAGGGATTTGCATAGATCTACAATTCAAAGGAAAGGAACATATCAGTATTATCAGAGCATATATTTTATCTAAAGAGAACTCAAAACATACACCAATAGCAAAATGAATACAAAAAAAAGTATTAGAAAGACAAAGCAAAGATTGAAATATTATTATAGCTGGAGATTTCAATGCTCTTATGAACCCCTATATGAAGAAAAATTCAGTTAAAAGAAACAAGTTATCAACATCAACAACATTATCTTTACTAATACATAGATATATTTAGAGAAGTATAGTCAATAAGATGCAGATTCATTTGGTCTAACTCATGAAACACATATACTCAAATAGACTACATATGGATATCCCC